AAATGGCGTTCAAAGGTGGAAGCAATTGAAGAAGGTGGCTAGCTCTTGGACCAATCCTCCCATCTACATATATCGTTAATTGCTCGTCAAGAAAGGTATATTCCTTGACAATAACTTATAATGATCATAAGAGGTCTTGGGTGGATCTACGAAAGATTCTTTCCTCCCCCTCCCGCTCCAATCCCTCCACTCCCGCTCTGATTTTCTTTCATGTACAAAACCAAATAGACAGGGTAATTCAGGGGTAATCATTCCCTTTCCCCCTGATTCCCTTTCCCGAGCACGAATCAAACGCCCCCTTAGATGTTTAAATGTTTATAGGATGGTTTTAAACATATTTTGTGAGTGCACTTTAGCTTGTGAATATAGATATATAAAATCATATCCTTACATTGATTTCTATATATATTCTATGATAGTTTAGTGTTTCGACTTAATTCTTGAGAACCGAATCTTAATGGATTCGTATTGTAGCTGATACACTAAAACAAACGTTTAGCTCTTATATTGTTTGTTAATATCAAAACACGAGGCTTAGCAAACCAAAGGTAACAATATCATTTTTATTTAATTTGAGGTCAAAATTTATCAATTTTGACCGAAAAACGTCAAAACTAGACAAATACTCAGGGATGGAGGGAATATTTAATTTCTCTCTTACAAATTAAAATCCTCTCTAAGAGTGATACGGGATTTATTATTATTATTATTATTATTACTACTATTATTAATGGTTAGTGGTTATTATTATTATATTAGGTAGTATTATTATTTATGGTTAGTTAATTATATTATTATTAGAAAGTAATATTCTATTGTTAGGATATTTGTTACCATTTATAATTAGGATTCCTTTATTATTTAGTTTCCTTCTATGGTAAGGATTCTTTAGATGTCCTAGCTATAAATGTATCCATTTCAATAAATTATTTATCAATGAATAAAGAAAATACTTTCTCCTAAACCTTAATCTCTCTCTTTTCTCGCCTCTTTTGTTCTTGGAGCTCGAAGGTGCTCGAAATCCTTCACTATCCCGATACGATTTCGTATCAATTGGTGCTTTCATTCTTGAACTCACCCAAAAAATACAAAAAAAAAAATCTACAGCACACGCAATGGATTCTCTGTTGGACAAAGTTCTTGGTTTACTCGAGAAAGTTCTACGGGGACAAATTGAATTTTATGAAGGCGTGGGTGCAGTTGAAGATTCCGTGGATGAAATTATAAAGAAACTTCAGGCATTCCGTCCAATTGAAGGTCAACCAAAATTTGATTCTGAGGTATATGCGTTCTCCGTAGAGGCCTTTTGCTCAATACAAGATTTAGTTCGTGGTCCCCCAATTCTACCAAGTTTGATCCCGATAGAGTTATACATCTTCAGAAAAAACATGATGAACGCAATAAGGGGACTCATCGGTGCTCCTCTTTCTCCACCAAATTTAGCCCCTAAGGCTGGAGACATGATTGTTCAGTTGGTGGAAAACACAGCCGCACACACAGGTCCTCTTGTGGAAAATTTAAGTGATGNTGTAAATCAAGAAGTATTGCACCCGGTTGCATTCTTTTCATCGAGTTGGTCGCATGTAATTATTTAACTAGTGTTGGAGATGTTGTAGGTCCAACACGTTCTTTTGATGCTCCAATAACGAAGGTGTTTGACCCCGGATGATGGACGATGAATGACACACTTTTTCCCCGTTCTTTGTTGAATTTCCAACTTGAGGACAAGTTGGTTTTTGAGGCGGGGAGAGTGATACGGGATTTATTATTATTATTATTATTATTATTATTATTACTATTATTAATGGTTAGTGGTTATTATTATTATATTAGGTAGTATTATTATTTATGGTTAGTTAATTATATTATTATTAGAAAGTAATATTCTATTGTTAGGATATTTGTTACCATTTATAATTAGGATTCCTTTATTATTTAGTTTCCTTCTATGGTAAGGATTCTTTAGATGTCCTAGCTATAAATGTATCCATTTCAATAAATTATTTATCAATGAATAAAGAAAATACTTTCTCCTAAACCTTAATCTCTCTCTTTCTCGCCTCTTTTGTTCTTGGAGCTTGAAGGTGCTCGAAATCCTTCTCTATCCCGATACGATTCCGTATCAAAGAGTGGATGAAGAAATACAAATGAAAATTTCATAAATAATAATCAAATATTTTTCAAAAAGAAACACTGCCAAATAGGAGTAAACATATCATTTCTCTACAAAATAAGAGTGACATGTTCTTATTACCAAAACAAAATTATTGTAATTTGACTATGTGACGTTGTACATTGGCATCCTATAGTATTTTTCGGTAAATGTTAGCATTATTAACATTATAGGTTCTATTCTAGGTTTTAAAAAAAATTCTATTCTGGGGATAGCTCTTTCTAGACACTTTAATCATATTTTGCTCTTTCTCTCTTCTCTGTAGTCGATGATCAAAATCAAACTTTTGTCATGTTTGGCTATAAAAAGTCAAAGTCTACACATACACTAGAAATTGGACCCAAATGAATTGTACCCAAGACTTTGGCATATAAGACTTCAAGAATCTAATCACCTTTAAACATCTTGTTACAAAAGTCATGTGAAATCATATCTATAGTTGCGTGAATAAAAAATAACTTATTAATATATGTAAAGAAGAACATGTTTGTCTACTCCACTTATTTTATAAACTTTTAAAATAATTCAAAGTAAAAATAAACATTATAAACATTATTTATTTTATTATATCACAATGATAATAAATAATTTATATACAAATCATGAAATACCAACTAATTGTAATAAAAAATTGAAAGCAAGAAAGAATATTTGAACAATGACACAAAAGATTAGATGGAAAAGAGAACAAGAAAAAATATTAAAACTTTTATTAATTAAAATATCTCTCTTAATATAGTATAATATATTCTTATTTTAAATATAGATAACCACGTCATTTACCCGAACTGACTCGTTCAACCAATTAACCTTCGTCCACTCGCTTGCGTGAGTTGACGCCCGGTCCTATTTTCATAACATTATTAAAAGGTAAGGGTGAGTAAGGCCCCGTTCCATTTAACTTATTTTTTCATTTTTTTTATTAAAATCAGATTAGATCATATTTGATCAGGCCAAATCAGATTAGATCAGATCTAATCAGATCAGATCAAATCAAATCAAATCAAATCATATCTAATCAGATCAGATCCAATCATATCAGATCAAATCCAATCATATCAGACCAGGTCAAATTAGATCAGATCAGATCCAATCTAGAATTATTATTGTTATTATTATTATTCTTAAAAATGAAAAAGAATAAACTTTAGAAACAAGTTAAATCGAAAATTGAGAAAATAATCCTTAATTATTAGACGCCGGAAAAAGTATTTTTAAAATACATTGACAATGTCAATCTAATTATATTTTTAAAATACATTTTTAGTGTTACCTGTAATTTGAAATTCTAAATTTTTGATCTTTTACTACATCGAGTTGATCAACTTTGATCATGACTTAAATAAAATTAAATTTTGATATTCATATACGAAGTATATTTTAGTGTAACTGAAATAACTATTATATTTATGGTATTATATTAATCATAAAAAAAGTTTCATAGTACAAAGCACACGCTTATATTTTATAAGGATGAGATATTTTACTAAAAATACTAACTATTCATTATATTGATTATCTAAATTTAATTAATTTTTAATGCATATATAAATTAAATATTTATTCTAATGTATATATGAACTAATTATTAAAATATGAAATCGATATTCTTATTTCATAAAAAATAATTATAAAATAAAAAATATTATTACATCATAATATGAATGATTATTCTAATATATGAAATAACTAATTTTATTTCATTAAGAAATAATCATAAAATAAAAAATATTGATGATATTATAATATGAATTATTATTACAATTTTCAAAAGTTATTATAAAGGCCTTGTTTGGGAACAACGTTTTCGATTAGCGTTAGCGTTTTAGATAAAATTTTAATGGTGTAGATTAATTCTGAAAACGTTAATGCTAAAGTCTACCGTCGGATAGCCTTTTTGAAACCCTAACGCTGATGTCAAACGGGGCCAAAGTCAAATCAAATTATTGATTTGAATTCTAAATCAAATCAGACCAGACCACATCCAATCAGATCAGATCCAATCAGATTATACCAGATCAGATCCAATCAGATCAGATCAAATCAGAATTACAAAAAATCAGATCAAATCAAAAACAATAAGTTGAATGGAACGGAGCCTGAGTAACGAAGTGATCCTGAAGTTTCTCAAAATGTTCGAACTGAGAAAATAATTCAAAAGAACCGAGTTGTACTATACATCTCGAAAATCTCGAACCAAACAGATATATTATTATTATTTTTTAAAAAATAAGATTTTTATATTTATTCATTAATTAATAAATTTATTTTGAAAGGTTGGTTCACGTTTTATGATGTATAAATTATACGGAGTACTTCTATTCGAGTTTTAGTTTTATGTAGATGAATATAAATGTATTAACAAACATTTGAAATACTAATTAGTTATCATTTGTTTTTTAGTCTGTGAAACATAAATTATATTTCGCACGCATTTCTTGATTTTTTTAAAAATTCATTTTCCCGTTTTTTATGAGTCTTTATTTAATGTCCTTTTGTTTTTTTAAATAAAGAGTTTTAATACATTTTATTAAAGTGTAAACTTGGTACATATGTATTTATTCTGACTTGTACCGAAACGGAGACATCTCGAACTAATATTTTAAGACCGAGATCGATAGAACGTAAAATTTCATATTGAACTAAAATATCCGGTAAAGTATCGATACAAGCTAAATGCAACAGTAAAATGTGCTCTTAGAAAAGGGAATATTCTAGTATTATTCCAAAAAAATACCTTTAAAAAAAGAGTTTTGACTTTTTCTCTCATACGAAGAACTCCTAGACAATTATAGTAGTAGCAATCACATATTCACACTACATGTAGGGCCCACAAAAAAGAGATTAGCCGGTGAAAAGGATCGAAGTGCAAAAGCAGCGCCGGAGACTGAGTGGGAGAGATGCCAAATTTCCAATCCTATCAGTACTCCGCTTTGTAGTGTATATATAAAATCTTCATCCAGTCCCAATCTCATCCACATTCAAACTCTTCCTTCCCGTGATCTGTAACTCTCCTTATTTGTTTTCTTCTTCTCCTCACGTTTCATCACTCCTTTTTTTCTTGTGAAAACCCAGTTTTTCTTTTCTCCCCTTTTCGCGTGATTCTGGGTTGGGAGAAAAAAGAAGAAAGCTGTAGAACAGATCAGTTGGTTGGATTCTCGTGTGCCCTTTTTCTTTTTGCACTTTTGGTGTTCGTTTAATTGCCTCACGGGCGTGGAAGAAGAAACCGTGTATAAATCTCGCCATCAACAGGAACGATGAGTAGGAATCTGGAGAAGATGGCGTCGATTGATGCGCAGCTGAGGTTGCTCGCCCCGGCAAAGGTCTCCGAGGATGACAAGCTCGTGGAGTACGATGCGCTTTTGCTCGATCGGTTTCTCGACATTCTGCAGGATTTGCACGGAGAAGACATTCGTGAGACGGTACGTATAAAGATCGCTTCTTTTTGCTGGAACCTTTTATGAGAATTTTAATTCGCGATTAGAATGATGTTTTTTTTAGAGATTTTAAATTGATTTCGAATTTTTGAATTTAGCATCTGCATTGCCCGTCAATGGAGATTCTTCAAAGAATTGATGTATATTTGCTTGTGTAGATTCATTATTTTCATATAATTCTTTGTTGTCAATCTTCTTGCAATGTTTTTAGTTAATTGAATTGCAATTTAATATTCCTGGTTCAGACCACACTAAAGAGTAAAAATGATTGAAATCCAATCGATTAGCTAATGAATATGTCTTCTTTTCTTTAATCTGTATTCTCTGTATAGTTGAGATTTATGAAAGCAAAGTCAGCTTATGTTTCGTTTGTCATGATAATGTATGTTAGGTTCAAGAGTGTTACGAGCTCTCCGCAGAGTATGAAGGGAAGCATAATACCCAGAAGTTGGAAGAGCTTGGGAGAGTGATAACTAGTTTGGATGCTGGAGATTCTATAGTGGTGACCAAAGCCTTTTCCAACATGCTTAACTTGGCCAATCTTGCTGAGGAGGTTCAGATAGCCTACAGGCGGAGGATAAAGTTGAAAAAACACGACTTGTCTGATGAGGCTTCTGCAGCTACTGAATCAGATATTGAAGAAACTCTCAGGAGGCTTGTGGGACAACTGAACAAGTCCCCTCAAGAAGTCTTTGATGCTCTGAAGAACCAGACCGTAGATCTAGTCCTAACCGCACACCCTACTCAGTCCGTTCGCAGATCTTTGCTTCAAAAGCATGGAAGGTTTGAACACTTCACTCAACCCATAAGTGCATCCTTTTAGAAAATTGAGTGGATTCAGCCATTTCAGCCAAATAATCCTTCCCTGTTACCAGACAGTTGCTTGAGTTTTCTAAATATTAGATTTTTGACCTATTATTGAAGTTCCTTATTAATTTTTCCATGAAGAAAAATGTCTAAACAATGACATCCATGTTTTTTTTTGCAGGATCCGAAATTGTTTGACACAACTGTATGCCAAAGATATTACTCCTGATGATAAGCATGAGCTTGATGAGGCTTTGCAGAGAGAGGTATGGGATTGGATTTTTGATGTTCTATGTTGAATGCCTTGCCCTTTAAAAGAATTCTAGGTATATATGTTAAAGGTCCAAGAAGCTTTCTCATGTTTATTTGGTATATACTTGCAACTCCCAGCAGCAAGTTTTATTTCAATATATTTGATTTAAATCAGTTTTTAAATATGATGTTTAATATGCAATATAAGCCATCTTGCATTTCAATAGTTTAGTTCTTTTAAAATTCATACCAAAAACACAATTTTTAGATTATAATAAGCTTTGGCATGCTTTTATTCAGTTCTAGAAAAGAATGAAATTTTGGCTTTAGTAACTACTCAGATCAGGCATTTGTGCATGTCTACAAGTTTATTCTTTTTTGTTTTGACCTCACTCTTTCATCATTATATGTATAAAACAGATACAAGCTGCATTTCGCACAGATGAAATCAGGCGGACTCCTCCAACTCCACAAGATGAGATGAGGGCTGGAATGAGTTACTTTCATGAGACAATATGGAAAGGAGTTCCAAAGTTCTTACGCCGAGTTGACACAGCTTTAAAAAATATTGGAATAAATGAGCGTGTTCCCTACAATGCTCCTCTTATTCAATTTTCTTCTTGGATGGGAGGGGATCGAGACGGTACTACTTCAATCATTGAACTGTCTGAGTTTGTGGTCTAAGTACTTGTTAACTTGTTTTTGGATTGCAGTTTAAAATGAATATATTTCCTTAAAAGTAAAGTCTGAATTCTTCATTGGTTTGACAGGCAACCCTAGAGTGACTCCTGAGGTTACAAGGGATGTGTGCTTGCTGGCAAGAATGATGGCTGCTAATTTGTACTTTTCTCAAATTGAGGATCTTATGTTTGAGGTATGTTTTAGATCATCCAATAGCCCACGCATTTTCAAATTTCCATAGCCCTACATAATCATCTTTTCCTCTTTATGTTTGTTGTCATAGCTTTCCATGTGGCGCTGCAGTGAAGAGTTGCGTGCTCGTGCAGATGAATTGCACAGGACCTCAAAAAGAGACGTCAAACATTATATTGGTATACATCTTTCTTGAGTTTCTTCTAAAAAAATGTTTTTTTAGCTTTTGATATTCTAGTTGAAGATTCATCCTTTTGATGTTTGTATTTTGTAGTTTTTGAAACCCATTCTTGTTATTGATGCAGAGTTTTGGAAGCAAATTCCACCAAATGAGCCTTATCGAGTTATTCTTGCTGATGTTAGAGACAAGTTGTATGGTACTCGAGAGCGTGCTCGTCAGCTATTGGCAAATGGGATCTCTGATATTCCTGAAGAGACTGCCTTCACTAGTGTTGAACAGGTTTCTCCTTCGTGTTGCTTAACAATATGTTATTGTTTTTATTATTGAAAGCACTCCATTCCTGGTTTTTGCATAGCTTGTTATTCAAGAATCATTTCTCAGCTAGTCAGCTTTAAGATAAACTATCAATTTTGAATTGCACTGGAGGATCTTTAGTGTCCGTTTTGATCCCGGAAAATGAGTACTAGGGAAGGATTACACAGGAGGACAATGTTGAGGAAAGTTGGAACTTGGAAGGAAATAATATACGAGGGAAAATAAAAGATTGCCTAAAACTCTATAATTTTTTATTTGCTCTAGAGATTCATTTGTTGATACCATTTTATTTATTCACTCTGCATTTATTTATTTATTTACTTATCATATACTCCTCTGTCCCTCAAAACATAACATATCATAATGGTCTAAGATGTTTGACTGAATTGATTTTCATTCAATTTATTTAATATTTGTTGTATAATTAAATAGTACAATTTACGTATTTAAAGCATAATTAAAATTTCTCCAAACCAAGAACCAATATGACTATATATATTATTTTATCAAACACGGAGTAAGTAACAATAAAAGCAAATGAAGATGATAAAGTTTGTCCTTGTGAATAGTAATTGGGAATTTTTTTGAGGGACGGAGGGTGAACCTATTATATTTATATATTTAAAATTGAAGTTAAAACCATGCTTCGTAGTATTTTAGTTTCCTTTGCAGTTTTCAATTAAAGCCAAACATAAGAGTGTAATTTGCCTTTTCGTTTTCCCCCCTTTTGCATTTTCTCGGATCCAAATATAACACTTGTTTCTGGGTAAAACCTTTTGCATTTAGGATTGTGTCTCCTTTATATTTGAACCATGAACACTGTTCTCTTTCTTCTTAACCATGTGGGAGTATGGGGTCGGTGTCTGGTCAGTTTGCATGATATGAAAGCTGAATTTCTTGTTTTTTTTCACGGATGATGGGTAAAATGGAAAGATAGAAATAGAGTTTCATGTATTTATATACAAGCGGACTAAATAGTAATTAATATGTTTGCTGTTTGGGATTATTCAGTTTCTGGAGCCTCTTGAGTTGTGCTATAGATCACTATGTGCTTGTGGTGACCGTGCTATTGCTGATGGGAGCCTTCTTGATTTCCTGAGACAAGTTTCCACCTTTGGTCTATCACTCGTGAGACTTGATATCCGTCAAGAATCTGACAGACACACGGATGTTCTAGATGCCATCACAATGCACCTAGGGATAGGGTCCTACAAAGAATGGACTGAAGAACGTAGGCAGGAATGGCTTTTATCCGAACTCAGCGGGAAACGCCCTCTTTTTGGTCCCGACCTTCCTAAAACCGAAGAAATTGCTGACGTGTTGGACACCTTTAATGTTCTTTCTGAGCTCCCGCCTGACAATTTTGGCGCCTATATCATCTCAATGGCAACGGCTCCATCTGATGTGCTTGCGGTAGAACTACTACAACGTGAGTGCCATGTCAAGACTCCACTTAGAGTGGTCCCACTTTTCGAAAAACTTGCTGATCTGGAGGCAGCACCTGCAGCTGTGGCCCGTTTGTTCTCCATAGACTGGTACGTGAACCGGATCAATGGCAAGCAAGAAGTTATGATTGGGTATTCGGATTCGGGCAAGGATGCAGGTCGGCTCTCTGCGGCATGGCAGCTGTACAAGACTCAAGAGGAGCTTGTGAAGGTGGCAAAAGAATTTGGTGTTAAACTCACCATGTTCCATGGAAGAGGAGGCACCGTTGGAAGGGGAGGTGGTCCCACTCATCTTGCTATTCTTTCACAGCCACCAGATACAATACATGGCTCACTACGTGTGACGGTTCAAGGTGAAGTCATTGAACAGTCCTTTGGGGAAGAGCACTTGTGTTTCAGAACACTCCAGAGGTTTACTGCAGCAACACTTGAGCATGGAATGCATCCCCCTGTTGCCCCTAAGCCAGAATGGCGTGCTCTTCTTGATGAGATGTCTGTTATTGCCACTAAAGAGTATCGTTCTGTTGTTTTCCAGGATCCACGCTTTGTTGAATACTTCCGCCTTGTAAGTGTCAATACTGTTTTTTTGCTTTTTGTTGCACAACTATTTCATCTTGCACTATTGCTCTTTTAGTCATTCCAGTCATCCCGATCATTTATCCGGTCTAAGTTGAGGTTGATATCACCAAAAGTGTCTGGAAAGGACCAAAGTAGAAAGGATTCCACAGGCACACATCTCTCACCAAATGGGGAAAATGAAAGCCTATATGACCAAATGTGGGGATATAATCCCCTTAAACATGGGACCAAAAGCGATTTTTTTCCAAAACAAAACATGCTTCACATATTATGTTATTCATGTAGTAAAAACAAATATAAATTTTTAACATAAATATTGCAGGCAACACCAGAATTAGAATATGGGCGTATGAACATTGGGAGTCGACCTGCCAAAAGGAAACCTAGTGGTGGGATTGAATCTCTACGAGCAATTCCATGGATCTTTGCTTGGACACAGACAAGGTTTCATCTACCAGTTTGGCTTGGCTTTGGGGATGCTTTTAAGCATGTTATTGAGAAGGATATCAGAAATCTCCAAATGCTTAGAGACATGTACAGGGAATGGCCTTTCTTTAGGGTCACACTTGACTTGGTTGAAATGGTCTTTGCAAAGGGTGACCCGGGTATTGCTGCTTTGTATGATAAGCTTTTGGTGTCCAAAGATCTGTGGCCACTTGGAGAACAGTTAAGGGCCAAGTATGAACAAACCAAAAGCTTCCTGCTTCAGGTAAAAGACCAATGTCTTTGTCTGGCTTGTTCAAATTTATGATTTATGAGACAATGACCTTAAACTTTATGAAACTTGTTGTTTCATGGTTCTGTCTGGATTAGGTTGCTGGGCACAAGGATCTTCTTGAAGGGGACCCCTACCTGAGGCAGCGGCTCAAACTCCGTGATTCTTACATCACGACTCTCAATGCTTGTCAAGCTTATACACTGAAGCGGATCCGGGACCCGAGCTACAATGTGACTGTGAGACCCCATCTGTCCAAGGAGATAACGGAAGCGAGCAAACCAGCTGCTGAGCTGGTGATGCTCAATCCCACAAGTGACTATGCCCCTGGTTTGGAGGACACTCTCATCTTGACCATGAAAGGTATTGCCGCTGGAATGCAAAACACCGGCTAAGCGTGTTACTTGTTTCGAGTCTCTGGTGTTTCTCTTTTTGTACAATGCCTCCTATATATGTTTTAATAAATTGTGAGGAAACATTCAGGAGAAGATTTATACTTGTACTATTATTATTTATCAAATAATCTTTGTCTTAATCGTTTTCCAGAAAAAAATATGGAGACAATCTTTCTGTTATCTTTGAGATCCTTCACTGGTTATCACCCTCTCATGCTAGAGGAACCGGGGATGATTTTTTATTTTGGAATTTAATCTCAATATGAATTTTGTAAGTTATGTTGTACACCCAGTGGTGTTTTTGTCATTTTTATGGTTGCTCATTATTCTATTAAAGAATGTTGACTTGTTTGTTCTCTTTTCGTGTGTTTTTTTTTGTTATGTTTGTTATCCTTCTATATAATGCTCCTCCTGAATATGATGTACGAATGTTCATTTATTTATTGTTGGATGCATGCTTATCGTGGCAATAGTTACTCCATATATTACTTCTGAGTAAAGGTTGGGGGCAAGAAGTTTGTGCTGCATAAAATTGTCATTGTTTTTTGCATGAGTTTATGATGATAAATTTTAGAAAATTATTATTCTATGAGCCTCCAAAATATATATTACTTTAATTTAAACTATTAGTTTTGGTCAACGATGTTTGATTGAAATCAATTCAATTTATATGAGAATTAAGGTCGAATTAAAGTATAAAATTTACATATTTTAAAAACACATTTTTTTAAAAAAGTGACATAATTATATTATTTTTACATATGAGTAGTAAAAATAGGTTTAAAGTAGACTTTGTAGTAATTTAATTTGGAAGGAAGAAAGTATACCTTAATTTTTGGTCCGTCCCAAAGTTAACGCACATGCACCCACGCACTATACTAGGGTATTTTGAAATAGTACAAAAAAGAAGGTTTTAAAAGACTTTTTCTTTGACCAGTGCATGTTTTATACTATATATATTACACTGTTATAGATGTTTAAACAAACACATTTTGAATGTAATGTCTTCATTTCTATTCACTCATCATTCTGCTGAAACAAGGATTTGCAAGCATCCAGTGAGAATTCTGGTCGGTAAAAAGCAGCTTTTGCTGCAGATTTGTCTTCATCAAGAATCCCAAGAACATTAGTTGTTTCCTGTGCATTGTAACATACACTTGAGTTGAATATGCATTTTTTTTCTTTCTTTTGCATTGATGATGACTTTCTAAAAACAAAGTATTACCATGTTATTTGATCTTCTGATATATCCCAAAAGAACAATCTCCATTTCACTATCATGAAGATTCTCATCGTCCTCGGGAAGATATGCTTCCTAAAAAGGCACATTTTTACATAAACTACTGTCCAAGAACGAAGACGGAACCTGTATAAAAAGTATAAAACACAAAGTATAATAATAAGGTCTTTATCAAAACTCACAATGTGTCTTTTTGAACAGTTGCTATTTTCCCATCCAATTTTCACAAGAATCTTCAGTAACTTGCTTGAGTTGATTTTTGCCCATCCAATGAAATTCCCAAAAACTTGAGTGGGCAGAACACTCATTATATCACCTGATCAGAATGGCACATTAGACATCCTTTTTGCTTTTCTCAATGAACTTTTGGCAAGTAAGTGCAGCAATGCATCAACTTCTAATCCAAACCACATCTGGTTTTTTTACAAAAGAAAATTTGCATACATCTTTTGTCGATAAAATTCCTTACTAGTCCCCAACAGAATTGGGATTTAACTACGTTTTGTTGCTGCATAAATTTGTGTTTGCTGAAGAAAAAAAAAGAACAAAAGGAGAGTTGCCATATAATCTCATAGACCTGTAAATTCGTGAAGGAGTCCATTTGTGTAGAAGCCTTTGAAAAATATGGGTTCAACCTGCAACACATTATCTATCCCTGCAAATCATTACATGGAAACTGAGAAAATCAGTTCCAAGCAAGAAAAGTTGGAGCCTGTGCAGAGAAGACTGATTTTGCAGTGATACATACAATCATCATATGGGGGAAGACCCCAAACTTCAGGCTGCAATTCAAGAATTGAATGAAGCACTGAATCAGCAATAGAATACTGATCCATTTCGGGTTGCACTGATGGCACGGCAACTACTTTCATTCCAGCAGCTTTTGCTGCTTTCACTCCAACTCTGAATTTGAACTTTAGTTACAACTTCATAAAATCATGTTGCATAAAATAAGTTAGGGCTCATTCATTTTGCCTTCATTATAAGTTAGAGTCTGGAGATTGGATTCTAGAGTCCGGATATTGTTTTAATTTTATCTACTCACTCCGTCCACGAATTTTCTTCTCACTTTTCCCTTTTGGTTCGTCAATAAATTTACTTATCATTTCCTTTTATGGCATAGAAGTTTGCTTTAAATGTCAAATGTGTCCTTCCACTTTTAATGATAACCTTTCAAATCATCACTTTTCATCTACACTATCCACTTTATTTAACACGATTCATCCAAGGGTAAATGTGGAAAGCCAATGTTTTTCTCATCTCACCAATATGTGTGCCAGTCAAACCGAGAAGATAATTCTTGGACAAAGGGAGTAAAATCTAGAGGTAAATTAACTGGAGGTTGGAGTCTAGAAGCCAAAGTCTAATGAAGTATGCATAACAAGAGTTAAAAGTTGGAAAGAACATGTCAAGAAAAAAAGTTAAAAAAAACTCACACGGAGTCCTCTATAACAAGACAGTCTGTTGCATCTACATTCATCTTGGCTGCAGCTTCAAGAAATCTATGCCAATTGCAGAATTATTAAGAAGGTTTGACGAGGCAATTAGCTTTAGAATACTAATAATGACCATGGTAGTTGCAACTTAAATGCATTGACTATCATATTTATATACCCCTACAAAAAGACTGAAAGAGACTCCTGAGAAGAACAAAGACGAAAATACTTTTAGAAGCTTTCTACAAGGGTTAGAAATATTTAGGCGTACATGTCCGGCTCAGGTTTGCCTGATTTCACCTGGTCACTTCCAAGAATCACTGCAAAGCGTTCTTTCCAACCTGTGAAAGTAAGAGAATGTTTTTTTAAGAAATAAATAGCAAAAGATGATCAAATGAATAATTATCAAGAGCATACGCTCTAGATACCATTTCGTGATAGATTAAATGTTATCTGTTTCGGGAATCACAAATGATCACATTAATAACAAAAGGGGCATCTTGACATAGAAGAATAGAATATGATGCTAAATACTCAAAAGAAAAAGAGTGTCCTATTTTTATTAATTATTTGGGCAGTAGCATTAACTAATCCTAAGTTCCATTGTCAAGGCATACGAAATCCCATTAGAGCATGTTAAACTATTTACGGTGTATTATGCAAAAAGTAAACACAAACCTTCATGGTAAGAGAGTTTCCTGTCAATGTTAATCCTAATGGAATTTGAAGCAAGGGCAAATGGAACTCCTTGCTTATGCAGATGTCCCATAAGGCGGGTGGCTCCAGGAAGTGGTTTTGTTAACTTCCACCTAAGAAAAATGTGATAAACAAAATCCAATAAATAGTATATGTACAAACAGGAAGGTCAGTTGAAAATCCAAGAAATGCTAAAAACATAAATAACTCCATGTATAAGAAAATATGCTTTGAGTTCATATGCACAATTACAGCCAGATTTGAATCTTCTCTCATGATGAGCATCAGACTAATACCCTAAGGCTCAAATTCTCTAATCTGGCAAAAAGGTGAGATGAGAGAAGTAAAGGTGTAGTGAACCAAATGCTAAATGGATAAGGTGCGGTAAGAGAAAGAAAACGCGGAATGAGATAAAGGCTTTGTTTGTAAATAGTGTTTTCAATTAGCATTAGCATTTTGGATAATTTTTAACTGATGCAGATTAATTTTGAAAATACTAGAGCTAAACGATGTCATTACATAACAACAACGACCCAGTTGGATCCCACGAAAGTAGGGTCTGGGAAGGGTGTGTACGCAGACCTTGCCCCTACCCGAAAGTAGAGAGGCTATTTCAGAGAGACCCCCAGCTCAAGCTGCACAAAAAGAAGGCTCAAAACATATTCCCGCAACAGGGATAGCACACATACAACATAGATAAAGCACCCAACATTTAGAAAATAAACTAAAATTACGAAGCAAGAGATGGCATTAGATAATGAAACAAATAAACACTAAAGCTTTTGCCAAACGGGCCCAAAGAAAGGTGGAGTGTGGTAGATTTGTTTATGAATGTGTTTTTTTCAAAAAAGGAAAAGGGGCCAATGATATGAAATAGCCCATGGTAATATATCAGAGATAAACGCAGGAAAAACCTTGTCCAAGTTGTTTATCCATCTCCAACTTCTCCTTCGGTTAGATAATGCCTTTTCTATTTGAAGGAATTACAGTTGGAATGTAGAAAGGAAACAAAGGCTTGCCAAATAAACATAGATACCTAAATATTATTTCCAAAATAGAAACTCTTTGAAAGGAAAGACGAACAAAAATGAAACCCCACAGAGCTAATCGGGAAAAAGAGGCGTAAAGTTTATTTTGAGATGAACAAAAATGGAAAGTGCAGAGCTGATTGTGAAACGGAATAAGGAATAAATTTTGATGCAGCTAAAGAGGAACAGGTTGCCTTTAGGAAAATTAAATGAAAGGTAATCCTTAACAGATAGGTTCCATGCCCTGCAGGGCTTTTATTGATCAGAATGAGAATCACTCTGTGGAACTATAAGTCACTGATGACTGTGTTGGACAGTGTGTCTCTCCATGTGCGGGAGCATTGTTGTGGGCTCACAAGAATTGCCAACTGAATTTCTAAGGGTCTATTTGGATGGAGGGGTTTGAAAGTCATAGTATATATCTTGAAAAAAATAATGTTTCTAAAAAGATGGATTCAAGGTGATAGAAATGTCATACGGTCACGTGTTATGTTAACCAAAACCTTCCCACCCAAACAGACCCTAAGTGTCAAACTGCCAAATGGATTAGTTGTTGGCTTCAAATCCTCCAATGACTTGAGGGGGGATCACAATGTTCCAGCAGACATCAAAGCTCTTTTACAGCAGGAAGGTATTACTTGATTGTCAAACTACATCAGAAGCTCTATAAAACAATAGTGAACTGGACTATTTATGTTAACGAACAATTAAAGAGATATAAAAGGAAAGATGACATGATTTGACCTTATAAATAGTGTTTATGACAAATATAAAGGGATGGAGGGAGTAATAAATTCCAAATATATAATTTTATACTGAAAAAAGAAAAATTACAATTTTCTCATTGTTGTGACAATGCCACATTGTTCAAATTTCTATGTTCTACTTCAAGGGTTTTCTTAAATGTAACAGTGATGGCTTTTTGTTTATTCATCAGATCAAAGCTGGTT